ACCCTTGGTGACTGAAACAAAAAGAGGCTGGCAAGTTATCAGGGAAGGAAATGAAGGGAAATTAACATTTATTGAGCTCCTAAACATTTTCACACGTATGATCACAATTGATACTTATAACCTCATGAGGTAGGTATGGGAGTAGTTCAGTGTAGTGACTGATGGGAACTTTAGAGCCAAGGACTTGATTTCCAGTCCAACTCTTACCAGTTTTTAGCTGCAGAAACTGACCAGTTATTTCTCGCCAAGCCTCAGTTACCTTATCTGTAAACTGGAAATAATATGTCATACTTCATAAGGTGTTTGAGGAGCAAATGTAGAGCACCTAGCAGAGTCCCAAAATAGAGCAGGTACTCATCAAGATTTATTTTTATTATTACTTTTATTTTTATCATTGTGATTATGGTGTTGATGATGATGATGAAGTCAATTCTGCAGATGAAAAACAGGCTCAGAGAGCTGAAGTAACTTGCTTAAGGCAGCACGGCTAGTAAGCCTGAAAGGCATCTAGCAGAGTGTCTGCCACTATGGCAGGTGCCCGATTATATTTGCTTTCTTCTTTCCTGACTTAAAACTCAATGATTTTCTGAGAATTTTATTCTTTAAAAATAATGAGTCAGGCTCAACTCTAGCTAGGTTAATGCAAAGTACTACCACTCATATAAATATGTGAAAATTATTAATATTTTCTTTTGCTCATAGGTAGTAATACATGGAATAAAACAACAAAGTAGATGCCAGACCTCACCAAAAAAGATGATAATTGGGTCCATGGTTTTACCTAATGAGGGATAATTCATTTCTCCCCCAAAGAGGTACTTATTTTCCCTACTAGATGTCATTAAGATCAGCGAGTCAGTGACCGATAAGATCCCAAGTTTCTGGACTTTCACCTCCTGGATTTTCATACTTGAGTATATATAAGTCAGTGCACCAAAGGATAGTGCTAGCTAAAAATTTAAATAGGTTAAAAATGTAATTATGTAAGTTCACAGATGATAGATTCAGGTTTTTGTCCTTGGCCTTTTTCTAGTCTCACTCTACACATTCTCCCTGGGTAATATCATCCAACCCCAGGCATTAGCTGTAAGATACTGATGAACTCAAATCTACTTATATCAACAGTCCAGATCGTTCCTGAACTCTAGACATGCATTTCCAAGTGCCTGATAGGAAAATTCACCTGGATGTCACCCAAGCGTCTTACACGTAACGTGTCCAGAAATAAATTCATTCTCTTCCCTTCCAAACCCACCCTTCCTCCTATTTTCCTTCTCTTAGTAAATGCAGCATAATCCTCCCAGTGTCCCAAACTTGAAATCGAGGCATCCTTGACTCTGTTATCTCTTTCAACCTCAACAACTAATCAATTACCAACTCCTACCAATTCCTCCACACTGATATCTCTGCACTATGTCTCTTTACCTCTTCTGATACAGCCAGAGTTTATACCATCATTGCCATTCTTAGCCTGGCCTAGTTCAGTAGCTTCCTAGATTGTCTCCCTGCATCCAATTTTTCCCACCTGCAATCAATCTGTTATACTGCTGCTTGTATATCTACAATGTTCTTCTATACTTCTCATCCTAAAGATCATATTCAACATGAAATTCTCCATTACTTAAAAGCTGTGGTTTTTAATGCATAAAGGAAAAAAAGAACTCCTAAATTGGTCATGCAATACTTTTTGTGATCCAGCTCCAATGTACCTTACTCTTAGCCATACTGAAATTTTCACAATCCCAGGCCTTTTCACAGCTTTATGCTTTTGCGCCTGCTAATCTACCCTCTTGGAATGTCCTTTTCCAAGTAAGATCGTATTCAAATTTTAAGACCTAGATCAAATATTACCTTTCTATGGACCCCAATTCCCTGTGTATTTCCATATTCCCTTTATCTATAAAAGTACTTAGTATGTTCAATTGCGATGATTTGCTTGATATCTATTTTCTCCACCACATTATGAATTTTCTACAAGCAGAAACTATTAAGAGTCATCTCCATCCCTAGCACTGACTCAGGGCTTGACACATCGTGAGGGCTAAGTAAAAGCTTATTGAGTACTAATAGGTCATTGAAAAAAAGTTAGGATGGCATCATAGAAGATAAACTTCCATATTCTCAAAATTCATTTTGATCACAATGCAGAGACGAAATATGAGGCTGGCTAGGCTCTTTACACTGACTCAGTACAAAATTGCTTGTTAGAACAAACTGTCACTAGAAGTGCATTCTTTTTTTTTTTTTTAAGATTTTATTTATCCATTTGACAGAGAGAGAGCGAGAGAGGGAACACAAGCAGGGGGAGTGGGAGAGGGAGAAGCAGGCTTCCCACAGAGCAGAGAGCCCAATGCGGGGCTCAATCCCAGCACCCTGGGATCATGACCTGAACTGAAGGCAGAGAAGGCAGACGCTTAACGACTGAGCCACCCAGGTGCCCCTAGAACTGCATTCTTATTTAAACTCACAACATATGAGGTCAAGCACTCTACACTTCATTCCCATAACCCACAACTCACAATTTTAAGTTCATATTCTGTAAAGACAACCTTATAGAAAAATATTCTAATGGGAACTACACATTTCTCAAAGCATAAAAGAGCCAAAAATAGACGAATAAAATTATTTTATAACAAATACACAGTCATTAGCAGAATAGGAAAGATTAAAATGAATTACTTGAAAAGACAGATACAAAACTTTTACCAATAATGGTAAGAGATAAAAAATGTGTAATATAGTTAATATCATAAACATTTAAAGTATATTTAAATGTTAGTATGAATATATAAAATCTTTGGCTCAATTTAAAATTTCTCTAATGTAAGATACTAATATTAATACTAATTAGGATACAGTAGTTTTCATTTATAATAACTCCGTTTTACACGGTCCAGGGCAATGCCCAAGAATTTGCACTTCTAACAAGTTCATGGGTGATGCTGTTGCTGCTAGTCTAGGCCTCACACTCTGGCAACCACTGATCTAGACAATCAAATGATTTTTTTTTTCATCTCAGCATGGACTTACTCTTAAAAAAAAAAAAGTAACCTGTGCCAATGTCAGTATTTCAAAAGCAGTTTTCAATTCATGATAAGTACTTATGTTTTGCTTGATAGCAACTTATTCCTTAAATTAAAAACTATAGAACACAGATTATATGCAAAGTATTATAGAAAAATAGAGATCAGTAAATAAATCATAATCCCCATCTTCACTGAGTGTACAATCTAGAAAGGTATACACCAAAATAATAAAAATCAGAAATGGGTACAAAGGGGGTGACAGTACAACAAAGGCTCTGTGGCAAAGATGCTGGGAGACCAGGCATTGAAGATGGTTAAATATGGTGAAATGGAGATGGCGGAGAAGGGCATTCCAACGGAAAGGGGGCAGCATGGCTGAAGGACTGAAGGGATGAGGTGAGGTCCAAGGAGATCAGTTAGGAAGCAAAAACAGTTGAGGTAAAAGAAAATGAGAGCAGTGATAATGCTAATGGAAAGAAGATGGATTTGAGACAAGTAGAAGTTAAATCTGCTGGAAGGGGCAACTGATTAGGTACAGAAAGTGTACGTGGAGGGCTGGGGAGAATGGGAGCTTCATGAACAGATCTTGTGACAGAAAGAAAAGGAGTGCAATTAGAGATGTTAAGATGATTGCTGCCATTTTAGATCTATCGATTTAGAGCTGCCAGTGGAGGTGTCCATTCCTTCGAAAATGTCTAGCAGGTAACTGAAAATGTAGGGCTATATTTGGGAAAAATGATGGAGCTGAAGATAAATATTTAGAAGTCACCCAACTAGAATATTGGTATTTGAGGCTCTCTGAGTAAGTGATTTCAAAGGGATGGAGCAGGGGCACCTGGGTGGCTCAGTCAGTTAAGTGCCTGCCTTCAGCTCAGGTCATGATCCCGGGGTCCTGGGATCGAGCCCCATGTGGGGCTCCCTGCTCAGCGGGGAGCCTGCTTCTCCCTCTCTCTCTGTTGCTTCCTCTGCTTGTGACCTCTCAAATAAATAAATACATAAATAAATAAATAAAATCTTTTAAAAAAAGGGTAGAATAGTGGTCCTCAAACTTGAGTTGCCATCAGAATCCCCTGGAGGGCTTGTTAAACTACAGATTGCTGGGTCCCCCCTCAGGGTTTCTGATTCAGTAGGTCTGGGGTGGAGCCTGAGAATCTGCATCACTAGCAAGTCCTATGGGTGATGCTGCTGTTGCTGCTTCAGGGCCCCTAAGGTTAGAACCACTGATCTAGATAATCAAATCATATTTTTTTTTCATTTCAGCATTGATGTACTCTTTAAAAGAATATATTAACCTGTACTAGTCAGTATCTTTTCTTCTGTGTAGTTGAGTATCTACCACTGCCTAACTATCAATCGAAAAGAATAAGGCAATCATATTTCTATCTACCTGTTTTCTATGTATTAAACACTGTCTTGTCAATCCATAATTGAGAAACCAAGGCTGTCCAAAGGATCTGCTTTACATTACAGCCATGGTAGGAAGGGTTCCAACGAATTCTTATTTTCCCCCAGGACTGAGTTGCACGAAGTGTCCACATTCTGATGACAGACTTTCCGGACCTTGTTTGGTGGTCTCCACTAACCTTTCTAAAGCTCTTTTAGAAGCCAAATATTTATTTGAGAATTTCATCCCACATAGGCAATAGCTTGAAAAGCACTTAGCTGTTTACTTTTCATCTTACTATAAATTATTTATCCTTCAGTCTGTAAATGGCTATTTGTAGGATTAGACAAATTTTCAATGCTCTGATAAGAGGATTGTTGCATCTAAATTCATGCAAAATCTGTAAAAAACACATGTAACCTACAACCTCAGCTGGATTGGCATATGAACAGATTCACTAAGCGTATATAAGCAGTGCACATTATTAACCAGTTAACATCAGCAAATTTGTTTTTGAAACCTAAGTTTACACACACAAGCATTCTCTACTGAGAAATAATATTAGTTTTAAAAATCCAGTAAAAACGCACCTTGAGTAGATTTCTCCACTTCTTTCCTCTTCCTGCTCTGGCTATTGTAATTCATCCTCAGTTCTTGGTTGTACTCATGCAGAGTTTCTCTGGAGTTGTACGACTGTCTTGGTTTTCGTCCATCTTCACTTTCATCAGAAGAACTGGTATAAGCTAGATCCATTTCATGCTTGACTTTTGAGAGAGGCTGGTAGGGTTTGCAGTCCGTTTGCTCCATGTCTGATTAAGCAAACTCAATTCAATGAAACAAGGAAGAGGAACTCCTTTAATGTAAGCAGTCCTGGAAGAGAGGGAAAAACACAGCCTTCTTAGATTTGTCCTTTTGAGAGGAAATGCATCTGGCAGATTCACAATTGGTTCTGATAATACTATCAAAGGAGTGAAGCAAAAGACAAAATAGATGACATGAAGCTAGCCTGAGGCAATAATAACATTCTGTGTTACATGCACACACTGGCAAGCATTTAGGATTAAACTGGAGGTTGCAGCATCAGAAAATACTTGAGGTAGAAGAGAGACAGTCTTCAAAAATATTTGTATTGGAATGCAAATAAAGGACAACGTTTTCTAAGGTGTATGCGTGTTCTTAACGATAATATCAGTGGTTAGATTAAAAAACATTCTAAGATTTGAAAGTGGCCAGGAGTACAAATGCTAACCTAGCACATCCCACATTTGAAATGAAAACTGGTAAGAGAACTACATTTAGCAAAAACACAGTCTTGCCTCTGGTTTAATACTGCATTTAAGAAAGGGGTTTTGAAGGAGAGAAGAATTCTGAGTGAGGGAGGCTCATGAAATAAAGTGTCCTTGAGGGGGACTGAGCTCTTTGTGTCCATATTGTGGCTTTTGAGCCTCGGGCTTGCAGAGAATTTTTAATGAGTTAGGTGGCGGTAAGTTTTTGTTCTTCATAGTTCCGAGAGGATGTAAACAACACTTCTGGTGAGTATACTGGTATAGGAACAGCAGGATCTAAATTGGGTTTAGAAATAGAAATTTTAAAACTTCATGATAAATCACTGAAAGAACCCCGCTTTCCCCCACAGAATGCTGAGCTCGAAGTCACTAAGGCTCTTAGGACAAGGAGAGGCATTATCTGCCTTACCACAGACATGTTTGAGAACATCAAATGCTATTTGAGATGTCCAAGTCCTCCGAAAAGCTTAAAGCCCTGTAAAAATGTACTTATTTTCATTCCTTACATTATTTTGTCATTATTTGCATCAAATGCTACAACTTTGCAACTTGGTCCTTTTTTGTGCAATGTTAAAAAACCTAGTTCAAACCTAAATAACTTTATGATTTTATTTTGCAGTGAAGTGGACTCCTTTATTTTTCTTAAGCTCTTCGCCACAGGTATTTTCAAAGAAATCTACAGACATCTGGATAGTGGTTCCTAAATCATGTGCATAATCTCACTTTTTGGAATTCCTATCGTATGAATAGCAAACACACAGAATACAGAAATCACTCAATAAAGTTTATGTATTGACTGATAGGCATTCAATGGTACCTAATCCTTTGTAGTAGGAACAGTTTCATGAATCGAATTGTTACTTCCCTAACCGAATGTTAAGGTCCTTGAAGGCAGAATCTGAGTCTTATGCTTCTTTACAGCCCCCATACCACTTAACACTACTCTAGGCACACACACAGTAGAAACTATTTAACACCTAACCTACAAATTCCATAAATGGTCTACAGAAACAGCAGTTTGGTATGACTTACTACAAGAGATGAGCATAGTTGGAGAGAAAGCAAATTGAATATTGTAAGTGAACATACACTGATGATTTGGCAACAATCTAATCTCATGCCATCTCATGAGACACGCTGTCTATACACTCCCCAATTTATAGCTCCAGCATAATCTCTCCCCTGAGCCACAGACGTGAATATCCTGCTGCCCACTCAATATCTCTACCTGGCTTCTCAAACTTACTATGTTCAAAACCAGTCCCAATTCCCATGGCTTCCCAAACCTGCTCCTCTCACGGTCTCCCCCATCTTGGTAAGTGGCAGCTCCATTCTTCCATTTGCTCAGGCCACACACATTGATTCCTGTCTTTCACATGTAATCCATCAGTAAATTCTGTTGGTGCTACCTTTGAAATATATCCAGAATCTGATGACAGCTCTCCACTTCCCCACTCCCACCTCACTGGTTCAAGCCATCATCCCCCACCTGGATTATTCCAACAGCCTAACTGATGTGCTGCTTCCACCACTGCTGTCATTATAGCACATTCCCCACACTACAGCCAGAATGAAGCTTTTAAAATCTAAGTCATGTCATGTCTCTCCTTTGCTCCGAAGCAGCAATGGTGTCTCATTTCCTTCAAAATAAAAGCCAAAATCCGTACAATGACCAACAAGGTCCCTACAAGGTTCACCTGTCTCTCTACCTTAACCTCTCTAATCTCATCCCCCCATATTTCCACCTATCTCATGCACTTTAGGTGTACCAACCTTCTCGCAATTTCTGAAAATCAGTCCTGTTTCCACCTCAGGGCCTTTGCAATGTCCTGTTGTAAACCACCAAAAAAGGTCACTTCTCATCCTCCTTCCTGTCTTTCATAGCACTTACCACCAAATGACATACTATATATTTTGCTTATATGTTTATTGTCTGTCATCTGTCTCTCCCCATAAAAATGTAAGCTCCATGAAGTGTTTTTATCTTTTCTATTCATTGTTATATCCCCCAAACAAGAACAATGTCTGGCATGTAGTAGACTCTTGATCAATACTTGCTTAATGAACTGAATACACTATTGCCCAGTTTTCACAAGAGGGGCTAGAGAGAATGGGGAAATGAATAGGTCATTGTCTCCACCCCCAAGGAATTCACAGTCCAATGCTAGTGATAAACAACTCTACTACCAAGCAGAATGAAAGGACTCATAAAGAAAGACAAAGCAATGTTTAAGCACCAAGGATGAGGATATTGGAAAAGGCTGTACTTGATTCAGCTTGTTTGCTCATCACCAATGCCATCACCACAACCACTGAAATTCTACTGAGCATCTATGTGATAAGGCCAATTTTAATCTCTTTCTCCTTTGCTTCCCATACCATGTGCCTCATAAGATGGACAGCTGGCTGGATTTTAGACCCCGACTTTGCTACAAATAGTGCAAACTGAGAAACATATCAATAGCAGACTTCCAGAAATGTATCTTTGCAGCAGAGAACTGGACTTCCACCCAGAAAAGGAGGCATCAATACAATTAATCTAGTTTCATTTCAGCCAGCACATATAGTTTTTGTTCATTAGAGAATGAAAGTTTACCAAGTAGGGGTGGAGAGCTATTTTTCACATAAGGACACTGATGATGCAAAAGTATCAATCAAGAGGGGTGCCTGGGTGGCTCAGTCATCAAGCCTCTGCCTTCTGCTCAGGTCATGATCTCAGAGTCCTGGGATCGAGCGAGCCTGCCCTGTATCAGGCTCCCTGCTCAGGGGGAAGCCTGTTTCTCCCTCTCACACTCCCCCTGCTTGTGTTCCCTCTCTCACTGTCTCTCTCTGTCAAATAAGTAAATAAAATCTTTAAAAAAAACCCAAAAATATCAATCAAGGACCTTATAATTAAAAATAATTTAATAAAATGCTTTCTGTTACAATATAGACATATATATTTTTTATTTTCTCTCCCATCTCTCACTTGCTCTTTCAGTCAAGTTTGGTTCAGTCTGATTGGGATTAACATAGCAGAGGTATGGTCAAAATAGCATTCCTTCTTAAGTCTCGGTTATGAATTTACACTTATCTTAACACCATTCAAACCTAACAAGTTAAATTTAAAAATGAAAAACATCTCACTTCTAATGCCTAATGTTGTGTTCTGGCAACTGATTTATGATGTTAAAATCACCCTTATTTTTATGTATGAAAATGCAGACATTCTCTTTCCCCTCAGTATGTTTATTTGCAACATGAAAACTCCTGTGGGGGGGGGGGGAAGGGAGAGAGAGAGAGAGGGAGAGGAATATTCCTATAGCCATTTTGAACTGTTCTTGAAGTTCTAATCACAGCTATTCACAGCTATGAATCAGCTACTAATGTCACATCTATTCAAGGTTATTGAGGGTTCTTGGAAGCAATCTTCCTTTAAAACACAAATTGGTATAAACCAAGAGAAAATAATCCTTCCCTGCTCCCTGACCCTCAACCACAACTTCCTGTCTTAATGTTTGTGTCAGTGGACCCAGATAGCAGAAGACACATTCCAGCTCTCTTTAGGCACATGATATGGAGACGCACAGCTCTGTGCCTAGAGCTAGGAAACTGTGATATTTACCAAAGTCCTGTGAAGCAGAGCTTGGCTTCACTCACAAATGGTTCACTTTTTGGAAATAAAAAAAATAGGACAACATTAAGAGAATGACTAATACTTTAAGCCTCACAAAGTTTGAAAGCACAATAATTCTGAGAAGATGCTGTTCTAAATACTCTAAGGTTAAAGACAGGCTCATATTTGCTTTATTGACTTATTCATTCAGTGCCCATCCTGGCATCCTGGAGGTCCACTGGTAAGCAAATGTTATTTAGACATGACGATCACACTGTCAACTCATAGAAAAACCAAATGTACACATAATGCTATTCACAGCAAAGCAGTTTTTCTTATTTCTCTATTATTTTGATAATGATAAACTTTACAAAAAGGAACTATGTGGGTAAAATACATGCTGCTATTATGAAACCATGAAAATCAAAGTCAATTGTCTTCTCTACTGCAGAAGATACATTCAGATAGGTCACACAGTATAACTTCAAATGTCACTACCTGTGGTTTACCTTTCTGTTTTCAACTTGCTACTTGCTACTAAGATAAACTCCAAGGTGACTTTGGAAAAGACAAAGGGAGGCATATGTTTATTTCTTTAGTCACCATAAGGCTATGAAGAGACAACTTGGTATGTGAAAATCATTGGCCTTGGAATGGCAGAATCAGCAACTTAACAACAGTAGTAGCTAACTCAGGTGGCGGGTCGGCCCACCAGGCACTGTTCTAAGTGCTTTTCACACATTAACTCCTTTAATTCTCATTGTGTCTGATGAAGTAGGTACATTTTATAGATAAAGAAAATCAAGGAACAGAGCAGTTAAGTGACTAGACCAAGGTCACATAACTAGTAAATTGTAGAACTGAGATTTCAATTCATACAATCTGCTCCAAAGGCCACACTCTTAATCACTACTCCACATTGTCATTCAGAAGATACTTGGCACAGTGGCCTAAGGTATATCACCTCCTCTCTTTTAGGGCCTCTAGTT